AGCTAGAAACATCGATGAGAGAGAGTCATCGATCAGCTGCCTCTTGCACACCCCCTACCGGGGATGTGCCTGCAACCAAGGTACATGCCCTTGACCGGAATCGAACCCGGGTCCCTTCAGTCCCCAAGCCGACGCTCTATCCATTGAGCCAAACCGGTCTCGGCGAGTATTCTATTTTTAATTAAAATCTTGTGATAAAATTGTGTACTAGTTTAAGGAAATCTTAGGGGAACTCCGAATCAGGATTCTCATTCATTGGAAAGTACTAAATAGCTCAGTATACCTATTTCTAGCTTAAGTATTCTGTTTACTTTAAGTAGTTTGTTTGCCTAAATATTACCTTAAAAATGATGAAATATTTTTATATATGTTAAGATAGTCTACCAAAAAAATATTTTAATACAGTATGCCTTGGAAATTAACTCTATATTAAACACAGACCAAGGTTGTTTTAGGCTCTATGTATATGTAATCTGATTTGATCTGTTAAGCAACTCTAAGAGTGTTTCTACCCCTTTTTTATGAATTAAACTGAGGCTCTGAGGATTTGAGTTTCATAGATATTAAGTGACAAAGCATAGATTCAGACTCAGGCCTTCTGACTCAAAGACAGTGCTTTTGGATATTCCCAGAGTTAGTTTATTATTATTATTATTATTATTATCATTATTATTATTGCTGGGCTGGCTGTAATGAGGAAGGAAAAACTTACTATAGCCACTGATCTGTTGTATTGTTACTCTTTACCTAAGTATATATTTAATCATTTAAAATCCCTAAATGATAGATAATGTTGGAAGTGGCCCTTGCTATTCTTCTGCTTATTGTATTTCCCTGGTTTTTATTTAGAAATCTCTAAAGTTGAGTTTTGACATAGGGAAGAAGAAATTTGCTGAGTTCTGGGCTCATGTGTGTACTTCATCCTTTAAACTTCTAGAAGTTTTGTAGCTTAGTTTTGAAGTATAGTATATATATATATGTATGTTTGTTTTTTCTGTCTGTTATAGTTAGTTACCCTACAAAGGTAGTACTTTAGTAAAGCAAGTAGACAAATGTCACATTTGAGTCAATTTTTTTTATCTATTACTTTCTCTGATCTATTACTTTTGTGTCCTTGAAAATTAACATGACAGACTATTTAGTATATAAAGTAAGAGAGAAAAGAATATGTTCATTGGTTTTGAAAAATGATCAGGCCTATCTGTATTTACAAATGGCTCTTTTGAAATTCTTGGTCAGCTAGGTTTCACAGAGTTGACTCCTTTAACCTATGCCTGTTAATGTTTTGAGACTAATTCTTGTTAAATTTGCTAAAAATCCCTCAGTTAATGGGTGACACCCCAGCTGAAGTATTCCACAAACCCAAAATTTTATATCGTATACTACTGTCTTTATCCTTGGAATATACTGAGTTTTTCTGTAGTACATAGATTGTATGACTTCATATAGTTCCTTCATTTTGAATATATGTAGGAAGTGATTAACTGCAAACTTTAGCAACCTCACTATTGGTTCTGACATTTAGGTTCATTTATAGTAGGGGTGGGGAACTTTTTTTTGCCAATTGCCACTTGGGTATTTATAACATTATTCACAGGCCATACAAAATTATCACCTTAAAAAATTAGCCTGACCGAAGCCGGTTTGGCTCAGTGGATGGAACATCGGCCTGCTAACTGAGAGGTCCCGGGTTCGATTCCGGTCGGGGACAGGTGCCTTGGTTGCAGGCACATCCCCAGAGGCGGGTGTGCAGCAGGCAGCTGATTGATGTTTCTCTCTCATTGATGTTTCTGGCTCCCTGTCCCTCTCCCTTCCTCTCTGTAAAAAATCAATAAAATATATTAAAATATATAAATTTGCTGAAACCGGGTTGGCTCAGTGGATAGAGCGTTGGCCTGTGGACTGAAAGGTCCTGGGTTTGATTCCGGTCAAGGGCATGTACCTTGATTGCGGGCACATTCCCAGGAGGGGATGTGCAAGAGGCAGCTGATCGATGATTCTCTCTCATCGATGTTTCTAACTCTCTAACCCTTTCTTTTCCTCTCTGTAAAAAATCAATAAAATATATATTTAAAAAAATAGCCTGCTAGCATACTGACAAGGGTTAATGGGGATTGGGGAGAGGAGTTTGAGATGTAATACTTCCAACGATAAAGAATTATTATTTTTTTAAATAGCTTGCTATATTTGGTCAACAATTTAATTAACTCTTGGGTCTTTTACGGCCCTCGAGCCAGACATTCCCCACCCCTGAATTATAGTATTTTATTTCACAGGTTCTTTTCTCGCCCCAAGATATATGACTAATGAAGATAACTTCTTTTTTCACTTCTACATTTGACTTTGAGTACATTTTATTATTAGTTTATGCTGTAAAAATACTAGAATTTCATAACTTAAATCATATGACTATTTAAAACCAATTTATTTGGCATATGAATTTTATTCAAATTAAATATATGTATGTTTTTCCAAAGTCAAGATCTGAATTTTTCTTAAAGAATGCTATCCTTATAAATATATTGTAAATACTCTTTAATGAATTTTAAATTTCAGACTTTCAGAATAACTTCCAAGTTTACTCTTTGTTATCTTTTGTATTTTCTACTTTCCTTTTTTTAAGTCAATCTGTTTATTTTAAACCCAAGGTCTCCAAACTAACATGTATGAATAGCATACTTACTCCCATGTGGTCCTGGGTAAGCCTTGTAAAAAAGCCAAATTGAGTTTTCAGTTGGTTTAGTTGCCTTTCATTTAATTTGGCAGACCAATTCTAAGTACAGTGGAAAAAAGAGATCTGACAAATATATCTTGAGAGGATACAAGCTGTTAAATAAACAGTAGTTAGCAGCCTCTTAATCCTTTCTTGCTATCTCATCAGTGCCTTTGATTGCCTTACCACTGGTCAAAAGAAAAATAAAAGATTAAAAGAATAGAAAGGAGTTGAAGTAGGACGAGCAAAAAGAAGTGCACATACTGAAGACTCCTAATAATCAAATAGTTGCTTTGGTGACTTTCTGGCATCTGCTGTGTGTCTACCTTTCCTAGTTTTGGATCACCTTAAGAAGTACCCTACCATTTAAAATTTTTAAATGCCTTTTAAAAATGTTTTTTGTGTGTGTTTTCTTTTTAACTTAGTAGATAACACAAGGGTCTTAATCTGATTAAGTCATAGAATTTTATTATTTTGATGATCATTGATATTTAGTTGCTATTCTAATAGAACTTGGAAATACTTTTTTTTAATTTTATTTTAATACTGCAGAGACTCTTTTAAGTCTCTCTTAAGTCTTAAGGGTCTCAGAAATGTCATATTGTATCTGAACCTCATTTTTATGATAAAATAATAGCTGTCATTTATGAAGCATTGACTATTCACTAGGAGCTTTCCATATAGTCTTTACATATGAATCACTCTGCATTATTTAACTGATAAAGAGGCAGACCTAGAGAGGTTAAAATTTAACTCTGCTATATATTTAGCATAGAAATGAGGCAAGTTATTATATCTGTAGTTCCTTATGGGTTGAAATATATTCTCTTTTCCTTGGAGCCTGGGACCAGATTGCCACCTAACTAACTCTATGACATAAGGCAAGTTACTTCTATCTGACCCAGTTTTCTTATTTGTGAACAGTTAGTGTTGAGTATATAATCACTCATATTCTTAGTACATGCTGCTGTTATTCTGCTAAAGCATGAATCAAGAATTTTGGACGTGATATCTCAAGTTTTTGTTAGTTCCCTAAAGTTGGGAGTTGGAGAGACTTTAGAAATATGCTGAACTGGAGGGGAACTGTAAAAGCAGGTTTGTCAGAAGTTTAGTCTCCTGCCAGGCTGCCCTAGCTCAGTGGTTGAGTACCTACCTATAAACCAGGAGGTCACGGTTTGATTCCTGGTCAGTGAACATTCCTGGGTTGTGGGCTTGATTCCCAGTGTGGGGCATGCAGGAAGCAGCCAATCAATGATTCTTCTCATTGTATTTTGATCTCCCTCTCTCCCTCTCCCTTCTTCTCTGAAATCAATAAAAATAAAAAAATAAAAATAGAGTTTAGTCTCCTGAAAAGCCATTACTGAGATGTGAGGTAGATCATGCTTGCTGGGAGCTTGCCCAGATGAACCCATCAGTAAGGAAAGTGTCCCTGGGGAATAGTAGAGATGGAAGGTAATTAAGATGTACTATTACACCTTAAAGGGGCATACTACTAATACTAGAAGTTAGCTGCTATACAATTCAGCACCATTTTTTGCCCTACCTAAGAAAAACCACACATAAATAAATAGACTCTGAAGGTGAACATTTTGTTAATTTGAAAAAGAACTCATTGTTTATCATCAAACAATATCAAATAGATCCTATGAAGAATTTTTTATTATGAAGGTACAACTTATTTTATATGTCCCTCACAACAGCTTTATTAAACTGCTAAACACATAGGGATTTATGAAAGTATCTAACAAAGGGTAGTGTTGATTAGGCAATGAACTGGTCACATTCATGTATATTATATATAAAGGTGTATCCACAAACATAATTGAATACTAGCTAATATTTGATTTGATTTTTATTACCCTTTTCTTTTAGAACTATGATCCCGAGTTGTCAGGGTCTGCTGGATTTTTGTGCAGTTTTAATTTTATTCAGAATGCATTTTTTTAAATTTATTGATTTTTAGAGAGGAAGGGAGAAGGAGCAAGAGATAGAAACATCAATGATGAGAGAGAATCATTGATCCTGCAACCCATGATGTGATATTGACCGGAATCGAACCTGGGATCCTTCAGTTCACAGGCGACACTCTTAATCCATTGATCCAAACCAGCTTGAGCTCAGAATGCTTTTAAGCAACCTTATTATGGCTCTCACTCTCCCTCTCTCTCTCTTTCTTGAAGCTGTTATACTGTATTAAAAATCTGAAATCTTCCATCTTTTTTTTTTTTTTTAAGTAGTGAATTTACTATATTTTCTCAACCTCATCTCAAATTCTTGGATCTCACAGGAATCCTTCAACTGCTTTCTACCAAGCGTTCCATTTGAACACGTTTCAGGAATCAAAGAACCTCTGGGATAGGTATGAATACTCACGTATGGAATGTGTACATGCAAAGGTGTATGCATGAATTGCTTTGCACTGTACTGGTTTCTCATCACTAAAACTGATCTTTCTTATTTTAGAGGGGCACTCGTGTTTAGCATGGGGAAAAGCAGTAAAATAAACCAAAAGGACAGTCTATATTTTATATAGGCTATAAACATTTCTTCTTACTAAACTTTTAATTATATTTATTTTTGGAAGGATTTACATATTCTGTTGGATTTTATTATATGAAATATTTACTAACCCTTGTGTTATTTTAATGTTAAAATATATTCTATAAAATAAAGTGCCTACAGTCATTTTAATTTTGTGCTACTTTTATTTCTCTGTAAAAGCCTTAGTGACTCAAAGCAAAATGTTATTTTATATTAAGAAATTGGAGGAGGGACAAAACCAAGGAATCAATGTAGTAGTCATTGTTTAACTCTTGGCGAGAAACTTTACCATCAAACTTGTTTGCTAGAATTCATTAGATCTGCATCACTATTTTATAAATCCCGAAAATGGTTTGTTTTCTCACAGAAATGTGTACATTTTACTTTTAACTTTTAAAAATATTAAATGAAGTCGAGTTCATTTATGGTTAAAAAAAATACTTTGGTTTATCTTTCTGCATGATACACATTTTAAGTAGTATATGCTCTGTTGAGTTATTTTGCTAAATGTTTATTAGCACTCCATCATTCTGTGTCTAATTAATAGAAGTTGAGCGCAAATAATGTTTTTAAAATTCTCACAAAGCTTTGTAAAGTTCTTTTAACTCTGCCTGGCAACGCATTTGTGTCCTCTGGCATAGTTGGGATAATACTCATGGACTCAACTCCATCTCTTTCGTTTGGAAAGAGTATTGCTAAGTGCATGTCATGCTTAACATGTTAAGACATGGTCTACATTGCCTAGAAATGGTACCAGTCTTCTAATTCTTTGGCTTGATTTGCTTTGTGTGTCACTTGAAAGAAATTTTCTAACAAGTCTTTTTTGTGATGTGTTCCTTACTTTACTAAAAATGTTTTTAAAATAGTTACTTGTAGAATAAGACATTTTAAAATTTATAGTACCATGTTTATAAATTTTTTAAATTGTTCAGCTAAAATCAATAAGTAAAATTGTTCCACTATAGCAATAAATTAAGGCATAAATATAAATTATAGCATGAAACAAGCATGAAGGTTTAATCATTCAAATGGCTTGCCAGATGTAGCCAGCCAGGGTGAGTACTTTGGTGTATATTTTATACTTTTCCCTTAGAAAAAGGAAGAATAGCACTCGATATAGAAATGTAAGAATAGTTTTCACATGTATAATTTATTTCAAATAGTTAACTTTTGTGAGCTGCCATGACATCAATATGCAAGATAACTACTTTCATTAAATCAATGTAGAAAGGTTTTACCTTTTTTAAAAATATAATTTGTATTTAATACTAAAAGATTGCTTTTGTTTCATTATAAAACAACCATAGAAATTGCCTGCTCCTCATTTGTTTTTATGGCTAAATGCTCCTTACCTACTTTGTTTTGGTTTTAGATACCAGAAACATTTAAGGTATCAGAAATGAGGCAAGTTATTAAATCTGTAGTTCCTTATGGGTTAAAATATATTCTCTTTTCCTTGGAGCCTGTTGTCCAGAGCCAACGAAGTTAACAGATTGTTGTCTGTAGTATGGTAAAGCCAAAATATAATTAGAATTCATATTCTAGATCAGTTGTATTCAATGTAAATTGGCTTGTTGGTATTGAGGCTACAAGCCTGACCTGGTAGAAACTGATCAGTGGCTTCCTTTTCACTTTTTAACCAGCTTATTAAATTTTCAATTGAGAAGAGTAGTAGCATCTAGCTTTATTAGTTCCAAAACATCTACCACTTCACTTGGCAGATATCTAGACTTTTGAATTAGCTAAAAAAGTACTGTGGGACTATTTATTATTTTTCATTGCAGACAGGGATTAAAGATTTGTCTGTGTTAAGCTTTTAAAAATATAATTTTATAACTTTTCCTAATCTCATTTGTAATAGATCTCACTAAATTGTCTTATTCATTTTTACTATTAATTTAAAAAAAAAATTTTACAATTAATTTGGCAAGTAAGTATGTAATAGAATCATTCAGTATTTAATAACTTTTAAGGGACTATAAATTCTTTACATCTTCTACTTGCTTTGAGGTATAAATTTGCCTATTTAAGTCTCCTATTTATGAAGTCTTGGAAATCATTTTCGGTAGCTTTTAAGCCCTGTGCCAGTTTTTATTAAGCCTGCCCTAGAAATCCGAAGAACCCTGGTTTTGCCTACGTCAAAGACTGAGATCTTTTTCTAGGATTCTTTTCATAGAGTATCTACTAATCAAAATATAAGTAACTAATTTACCTTTCTCACATTGACTTAGAGTTCTCTCATAGCCCCTCTGTTTTCTTCTCTAATTAGAATTACCACGTTGAGAAGCTTTTCTCCAGTCTGCTTCTGCTATTTATTTATTTATTTATTTATTTATTTATTTAAATCTTTATTGTTCATATTATTACAAATGTTCCTCATTTTTCCCCCCTCCATTGCTCCCCTTCACCAGGTTTCCACCCCACCCTCTGCCTTTTCCACACCCCACATTGATCTCATCTATAGGTGCACAGTTTATGTTCAGTCTCTTCCCGTACCCCCACTCCTCTTTTCCCCAAGAATCGTCAGTTCACTCCCCTTCCATACCTCTGATTCTATTGTATTCACCAGTTAATATTGTTCATCAGATTTTTTTAATTCCCTTGGTTTTTAGATTCACTTGTTAATAGTTACGTATTTGTTGTTCATAATTTTTTTTATTAAGGTATTATAGTGTACATATCTTTCCATTGCCCCCCCTTTACTCCCATACATGCCCTCCCTTCCCAGAGTTTTTCGTTCATTGGTTTTGCTTATATGCGTGCATTACCAGTCCTTCGGTTGATCTCTTATCTCCCCCAGATCTCCCTACCCTCCCCGCTGGAATTTGACAGTCTGCTTGTTGCTTTACTGTCTCTATATCTATCTTTTGGCTATTCATAATTTTTATCTTTATTTTCTTTCTCTTCCTAAAGAACCCCTTCAGCAAATCATATAATTCTGGTTTGGCTGTGATGAGCTCCATTAGCTTTTTATCTGGCCTTCGATTCTGAGTGATAGCTTTGCTGGGTAGAGTATTTTTGGCTGTAGGTTACTATTCATCACCTTGAATATTTCTTGCCATTCCCATCTGGCCTGCATGGTTTCTGTTGAGAAATCAGCTGACAATCGTATGGGTGCTCCTTTATAGGTAACTACCTGCTTTGCTCTTGCTGCTTTTAATATTCTCTCTTTGTCTTTTGCTCTTGGAATTTTAATTAGATGTGTCTTGGTGTGGTCCTCTTTGGATTCCTTTTGTTTGGGGTTCTGGGTGCTTCCTGGACTTGTAAGTCTAATTCTTTCACCAGGTAGGGGAAGTTTTCTGTCACTATTTCTTCCAGTATGTTTTCAGTATCTTGCTCTCTCTCTTCTTCAACATAATTCTGATGTTGGTTTGCTTGAAGTTGTCCCAGAGTTTTCTTAAATTATCTTCAACTTTCTGGATTCTCTTGCCTTCTTGCTTCTGGGGAGGAGTATTCTCTGGCTCTTTGTGTTCCAATCTTTGACTTGATTCTTGCGATCTTCCATTCTGTTTTTAGGACTCTGTATAATATTTTTTATTTCAGACAATGTATTCTTTATTTCTAGTTGATCCCTTTTCATATCCTCGTAGGTCTTGTTTATTTTATCAGCCTTTTCTAGGAAACTCTTGAAAAACCTTATAAGCGTGGTTTTGAACTCTATATCCAGTCGCTTTTTGTCCTCCATTTCTTTCGTTTGTGATCTGTTTCCTTGTCTCAGCATTTTCGCAGCTTCCCTGAATTGGTAGGGTGGCTTTGTGTGTTAAGGTGTCCTATATGGTTCAGTGGGTCAGCCTCCCAGTTAACCTGAGGTGGACACTTTTGGTGCACCCCTTTGTGGACTGTGTGTACAACCTTATTGTAATTAAGTCTTGATAGTTATTGGTATCCCTGAGAGGAACTGACCTCCAGGCCAATTGACCGTGAGGATCAGCTGTCTTTCCTTTCCCTTTTATTGTAGGTACCATCATTGTTTCCTGCCTCCCCATTTGTCATTTGCAAGTCCTCAGAGAATCATTCATCTGAAACTGTCAGTAAATGTGTATAAAGACAGTAGATACTGATATGTCAAAAATAGAACAGGCCTTTCTTAGGAAGCCCAAATGTTTGTGTGGACTCTTTTGTGTGTGTGTGTGTGTGTGTGTGTGTGTGTGTGTGTGTGTGGACTATTTATTAAAATGAATAATGTAACTTCCATAGTTAGCTTTGTGGGAATTATTTTACCATGAACAGGTTTATTTTTAGTGAAAGCTTAGCCCAGTGGTCGGCAAACTCATTTGGTCAACAGAGACAAATATCAACAGTACAACAATTGAAATTTCTTTTGAGAGCCAAATTTTTTAAACTTAAACTTCTTCTAATGCCACTTTTTCAAAATAGACTCACCCAGGCCGTGGTATTTTGTGGAGAGCCACACTCAAGGGGCCAAAGAGCCTCAGTTTGCCAACCACAGGCTAGCCTATTAACATTTCATTGTAGTAGCTTTAAATTTGACTTCCTATTTTCCTGCTTTAAAGAAGGCTTTCCAAATTTAAATATTGGCATTGCTTTGTTAAATCAATAGAATTATTTTTGAAATGATCACTAGGGAGCAGGCGCTAATTGTGAGTCTTTCTAATGTAAAGTCTCAGAGTAAGAATTTATAACAATTTTATTCTCTTGTAAATATCAGGTCAGTAAGATAGAAAGTACTAGAGGGAAGAAACATTAGCTTAGGTAGATTAAACAGGAAATCAGGTAGCTTGTAAGGATTTAACCTAATTGATAAACAACTTGCAATATTTCTGCCTTAGTGAAGAAAATGCATAAATGTGGTTAACA